CCCAGGGCCCCAAGTTAAAGCCCCTTGAATGACAAAAAAATAAATAAATAAACAAAAGATGCCTCAAATATATTAAGTTTCAGATAAATGACAAATAACATTTAATATGAGCATATTCATAAGTATATTTCAGTATAATATTGTTACATAAATTGTATGATCATCTAATTTTTTTAAGGTCCAAGACCAGAACTAGCTTTCGTTCATGGGCTAGTGCTCTGCCCACTGAACCAGGCCTCCAACCCCTCATATGATGTTTTGTATGATTTACATTAGAATATTATTGACCTGAAATCCAGCACTTCTGGGGTACCCTGGAGGTTATTTGCATGGTGGTTTTGTTTAGGTGTTGCTAATGGAACCTTGGAGTCCTTGTGTCCTTCAAACTCCTCTGGGGGCAGGGGGGTTTGAGGGGAGAGGTGTTTTCCTTCTTCCACCTCAGGCCCTGGGAAGGAGGCGGAGAGGAGGGGACCCCGGGAGGCAGAGAGGAGGGGACCCCGGGGCCTCACGTACTTTCCCTGGTGGCTTGCTCTGTGGCTGTAGGTGCCGTGGCTGCAGGAGAGATTCACGGGGCAGACAACTCATGTCTGCGAGCACTGGAGCTAGTCAAGGTCACGGGAGACAGCTCTGGCTCAGTCCTGCCTCTCTGGAGAGGAGGGGAAGAAGAGGCCAGGGAAGAGAGAGGAAGCTGAGGAGGAGGGAGGAGGGAGGAGGAGGATGGGGAGCAGAGAGGAGGCCCGGGGAAGTGGGAGGACACCTTTCTCTGTCCTTCAGCCCTTGATTCTTTCCAAGGGAAGAGGCAGCAAGCTCACCTAGAAGACCTCATGCTTGCCTGGCAGTGGCTCACACCTGTCATCCTAGCTACTCAGGAGGCTGCGATCTGAGGATCGTGGTTTGAAGCCAGCCCAGGCAAGAAAGTCTATGAGACTCTTATCTCCAATAAATTACTCATAAAAGCCAGAAGTGGTGCTGCAGTTCAAGCGGTAGAGTGCTCGCTTTGAGCAAAAGAAGCTCGGGGACAGCACCCAGGCCCAGAGTTCAAGCCCCAGGATCAACACTCCCCCCAAAAGAAAAAATAAATAAAGCCTTGTGCTTCTACTTGGATGGAGCCCAGTTTTCTTGGGCAGGAAGTGGGTGGTCAGCGTGGAGGGGTACCAGATCTCAGAGGTTCAGTGCGCCCCTCCCCCAGCCCTGCTTTTGACTCTGATCCAGGCCCAGCCTCTCGCTAGCTCCTCTGGCTTTCTAGCTAGGGCAGGACAACAGGACCTCTCTGAAGGCCTAAGCGGCCTCTGTTCCAAGTCCATTACGTACAGAATACCCTTCCCATCCTCACTGCCCCATCCAGTGGGCACTGGGACACTCCTGGCTTCCAGATGAGGAAACTGGGGAATCAAAAGGCCACTCAGGCTGGAGGGCACCGGAGTTGAGGGCTTGCTAAGTACATGCCAGGGCTCTGAGTTCAAGCCCACAATTCAGCAAGGGAGGAAAGGGGAAAGAAAACCACCCGAGTGCTGAAGCTGGGTCTTCAGCTCATGGCCCTGGGGTCTGTGAAAAGCATAGGTGGGGAAGGGGAGGGAGGGAGGCAATAGAGGACAAACGATGGGTAACAAAATTAGGAGGAGCCGGTACTAGTGTTCTACAGCGTAAGGGGGACTAGAGTGTACAGATATGTATTGCATATTTAAAAAAAAATTAAGCTAGGCTCTAGTGGCTCACGCCTGCAATCCTAGCTACTCAGGAAGCTGAGATCTGAGGACCACGGTTTGAAGCCAGCCCGGGCAGGAAAGTCCATGAGACTTGAACTCAGGGCCTGGGCACTGTCCCTCAGTTCTTCAGCTCAGTAGGTTAGTGCTCTACCACTTGAGCCACTGCACCACTTCCAGTTTTCTGAGTAGTTTACTGGAGATAAGAGTCTCATGGACTTTCCTGCCTGGGCTGGCTTTGAACCTCGATCCTCAGATCGCAGCCTCCAGAGTAGCTAGGATTACAGGCGTGAGCCACTGGTGCCCAGCTTACCAGGAGACTCTTATCTCCAATAAATCTCAAAAAAAAAAAAAAAGCAGAGTTGTAGAGCACTAGCCTTGAGTACAAAAGATAAGTGACAGTGCCCAAGCCCTAAATTCAAGTCTTAGGACCAGTACACGGACACAGACACAGACACATACACACACACACATACACACACACAGATACACACACACACCTAGAAGAGTCAGTCTTGATGGCTCATGCCTGTCCTCCTAGCTACTCAGAGGCTGAGATCTGGAGGACTGAAGTGTGAAGTCATCTTGGACTGAGAAGTTCATGAGACTCCATCTCCCAAATAATCAGCAAAAAGCTAGACTGGAGGCATGGCTCAAGTGGTAGAGCACCAGCCATCAGGAGGCAAGCCTGCTTTGCATAATTGAGAGTCTGAAGGTTCCCAGGACAATGAAATGATACATGGTTAAGGAGATTTAAAAAGATGGTAACTACCCTCCCTATCTGATCACTACCCATTGTGCCCCCCAAACAGGTACAATCGTTGAGTCAATTACATCAGAAAAGCTTTTAAGTATAAGCAGCATTGAAAACACAGGCAGAAGGACATTGTGTTCCATGTTCCTGGGGCCCTCGTGTGGAAGTTCAAACTCAGCCAATACACTGGGAGTCACTGTCTTTCCATTCTGCTTTCACAGGTAGGAAACTGAGGCTCCAAGAGGTCACGAACTTGCTTGCCCAGGATCATAATCTAAGCCAAAGTCTGAACTTGGGACCCAGGCCCAGCTCCCTCCCTCCCCCACCTTTGGTTTCACAGCCTCATATTGAGCACAGAGCGCACTAGTACTAAGGGCATGAACTCAGGGCTTCTTCACTCAAGGCTGACACTTTACCTCCTGACCCACAGCTCCACTTTCAACTTTTGCTAGTTAGTTGGAGACAAGAGTCTCAAGACCTTTCCTGCCAGGGCTGGCTTTGAACTGAGATTCTTAGATCTCAGCTTCCTGAGTCGCTAGGATTCCTGAGTTGGTGAGCCACCAGTGCCTGGTATGGCTCCATGTTTCCCTGGCTGAGTGAGACCAACACCCCACCATATTCTGTCCCCAGGGCCCTAACACTGTTGCCTGCTCTGAGTGAGCCCATCTTCCCTCCTGGAAGCGTCCAGGGAAGCATGGCCCCTTGGTGCCCATTTTCTTCCCCAGGCGATGGAGAAGATCCTGGATTTGCATGTCTCTGCATTTCCCTCCACTGTGCCATGTGTCCGAGTTCATCATCAGGAGACTACGCAACATCGCTTCACCAAGTTCCAGTTTTCCACATGGAGAAGTTGAGGCTCTTAGATCTTAAGCCAGGACCCAGCCCCACCACCCAGCCCACCTAGGGCTCTGGGAAGTTGTCAGTACTGTTAAGATGAGAAAAGTGAGGCACAGAAGCCATCGGGGACCTGTTCGAATCCCAGCCCCCTACGATAGAAGTAAGAGCAGACTCCCAGCCTCTGACTCTCCGGTTGCCGACCCACATCTGGAAGACCCTGGGACCCACGAGCGGGTGGTGGATCTTATTAGTTTATTCGTTATGCAAAGACAGGGCTCACTGAGGACAAGCCCCTTCTCCCAGCGAGGTCTGCACAAGACTAGTCCTTTCTTCTCAAAGGCCCAGGGGAGTCAGGCAGGACAAGGGGGACAGAGTTCAAATCCCGGGGCCTCTTCCCTTTGCAGGTTAGATCTTCTCAGGGACTGTTCACAAGGTGAGTTCAGGCTGGGGTGAAAATGGGGATCTGACCTGCTTGCGGGGGGGGGGGGTAGGGCATGATGCCGGTGACATTGTGGAGTAGTATGGAGAACACGCAGATTCTGCGCACTGAGGAGCGGATCCCTCCCCTCTCAGAAAATGGATTGAAGACATACTGGAGCTCACCAGCATCTTTCCATCTTCTGCGAGGCTCCTTAGCTTGGGGCGAGGGAGGAGCCCAGGGCTGGCTCCAAATGGAAGCTGAAAGCCACTCTAAGAGAAGAGCATGGGGCTGGGAAGGTGGCTCAGTGGTAGAGCGCTTGCCCTGCATGCATGAGGCCCTGGGTTCGATTCCTCAGCACCACATAAGCAAAAAGAAAAAAGCCAGAAGTGGCCCTGTGGCTCAAGTGGTAGAGCGCTAGCCTTGAGCTGAAGAGCTGAGGGACAGCACCCAGGCCCAGAGTTCAGGCCCCACGACCGGACCCCCCCACCCCCCAGAGCATCGCTTGGCCCTGTCCTGGCGGAGATCAGTATAGATGCTGGTGTTTGCCGGCTATACCTGAGCCTCACTTTGGCATGCTTGCTGCTAGGCCCCTTCCTAGGGCCATTACTCCCCCTGTGCCCTGGTGTACCCGGGAATCCATGTTGCCAACTGCAAGGGGGCACCGGAGAGCAAGGGAGGCGCAGGCACATCTGGGCTGAGAAGCCACTGAACTCTATAAATCACTGCTGCCTGGCTGACTGTGAGCAGGCTGCCTTCATCCTGGTCAAGAATGTTCTTCGCCTGTCTGTATCAGCAGAAGAGCAGGCAGGGAGCTTGAGAGGCCAGCTCAGGCTTGCAGGCTTCTGGATACCTCTAGAACCGGCTGGCTTGTGTCTGTGCCCTGGTTCTGGGATTGGGTGCCTTCCACTCATAAATGACGCCCGCACCCACCTGTCCTGGGACCAAAGCCCTTCTGAGCTGAGCTACAGGTGAGCTGGGGCAGAGCCTACAGACCTCTACCTTGGGAGCATTAAGTGAAGATTGGAGAAAGGATGGCCACAGACAGGGCCAGAGAATTCTGCACGCACCGTCCAGATTCCCTTTCCCCAGCGGGGATTCAGGATCCGTTCACACTGAGAGCCATCCGCACCCAGAACCACTCACACCAAACAGTTGCTGGTTGAGCCTCTGGTCTCCTCTTCCAGGCTCCGTTAGACTCGGGGCCCACGGTGACCTCTCCCTGCGGGGGAAGGGGGTCCACCCCGCCCCCATCGTGTCCTCCTGCCCCGTCCAGCCCTCCACTCACCTTTGGGCAGTTTGGAGGTGTTCTCCTGGATCCAGGAGAAGAGGTGGGCGAAGTCGCAGTCGCAGAGCCACGGGTTCCCGTCCAGGCGCAGGGCGCGCAGCGCGGGCAGCGCGTCCAGGGCGGCCACGTTGAGGCTGCGTAGATTGTTGTCGTTCAGCTCCAGCACCTGCAGCGACTCCAGGCTCTCGAAGGCCGCCTCGTGCACGCCCGCCAGGCGGTTGTTGGCCAGGCTCAGCTTGACCAGCCTCCCGGCCGAGCGGAAGGCGCCGGCGCGCAGCTGGGTCAGGTTGTTGTAGCTGAGGTCCAGGAAGGCGAGCTTGGCGGAGCCGCTGAACGTGCCGTCCTCCAGCGCGCGCAGCGAGTTGTTCCTCAGGTCCAGGTACACCAGGTCGCCGTAGAAGATGAAGAAGTCCTCCGGGATCCGCTGGATGCGGTTGCCGGCCACCAGCAGCTTGCGCACGTCCAGGGGGAAGGGATCGGGTACGCTCGGGAGCCCGCGATCGCGGCAGTCCACGGTGTGGGGGGCGCTGCAGGTGCAGCCCGCGGGGCACGCGTGTCCGGGCCGGAGCAGCAGGAGGAAGCAGCAGAGCCCGAACACCCCGGCGGCGGGGGCGCGGGGGCGCATGGCCGAGCCGAACGCACGCCGATCTCC